CGGCAACATGTCAAACTTACACACCCATTTGAAAAGGCAGCATCCAAGTGTAACTGCCTGCTGTGCTGGAGCTCTGACTCCATTCAGTCCTCAGTCCTCACCGCTGTCTTCTCAGTAGTACATGAGGAAGCTACAGCCAGGCAGCATCACAGGAGTGGGCTGAAAAGAGCTACTGATAGATAAGTTTATAATGACATTGTGACAATAACGATGACTCAACATGTCTCCTGTTTCACTTCAACTCTCTTTGCCATGTGTCAGGACGACTGACGCGTGCTTCGTTGCGTTGGTCGTGCTTTTCATTTACATTGCTAAAGTTGTGCTAACCTAGTTTAAGCTACTCGCTGTCTGTTTATGTTAGCAATTACATTGCTGTAGTTAAGCCAACCAGCATAGCGTTAGCTAACAGATTAAAGCCGCTAAGTAAGTGCAGAAGTAACGTAAGTGTACAAAATATTTGAGAGTACAGAATGACCGTTCATCACTCCATCAGCTTGTTATTGACGATATCAATGTCAATTCAAATGCTAGAGCTATGTTCTGATTATCCATGAATCTAATAGTGTCGATAAAATGAATGCAGAACTTGCTGGAAATCACAATATGGGTGGATATGAGCTGCTTGGCTAAGGTCTGCGCTCTCAGAGTGCTCTTGTAGTTAGCCATGTTTTACAAACTCGCCTCATTCATGAACAGCAACACACGCTCAAATTTGGCTGCATAATACTTCTTTCATTTATTTGAATTTTTTATTTTATTTTATTTATTTTTTATTGCTGAACTTGGTTGTTTGCAGCAGTGTCTTCCTTTTTTATACTTAAAAAGCAGTTCAGTTCTATTTACAGCAGACCAATAAGCTGGAATTGTTAATGCTGCACTTGTACTTTTATTTATTTTATTTTGTTTATTTGATATTGAGAACTATGCAGCAGTATTTCTGCTACATTTGTATACATTTTATATTTAATTTGCTTTACTGAGCTGCTAACAGCGTTTTGCTTTAATAAAACATACAAAAGTTGGATTATATTTGAGCAAGTTTTTTTTTTTTTTTTTTTTTTAAATTATTTTTCCCCTTAACTGAGAACCGAACCGTACCGAACTGAACCATGACTTCCGCACCGAGGTACGTACCGAACCATGATTTTTGGGTACCGTTACACCCCTAGCATCCTGTTAATCTTTGCATGAAAGTCCACATAAATGGCTTCATCCGTAAGTTATACACTGTTAAATATTATGTTCACATGTTTATGTTACCATTTCTATACTTTGAACATATACTTTGTATTTTGGAGACCAGCTAGTTGTTAGCACCGGGTAAATGTGCCAGACCTGTGGTTAAGGTTACGTGTGTTTTGCAAAGTATTTACATATTTACATTTCTCTACATGTATATATAGACATTTATGCATCTCAGACACTTGTATAAGTTAATTATCACCTTATTTGATGGTGTAGGTAGAAGCACTTTTTGGTACTTATATTTGTATTGTTTTGTTCTTTTTCAGTTTTACAAAAATGAAAAGTATGAATATTTCCATTCCTAAAATCCTACCAAATACATCACCTGTCTGGTCCTTGGAGGATAAAACATTGGAGAATATGAGTACAATGTTAAGCTAGCTGTATAGCTGAAAACACGTTGCCAGCCAACTTTTCACTAACATGGCATGTCCTTTTAACAAAGATCCCGTGGATGAAGGTGCAGCATTACTGCGCAGAAAATTAAATATTCGTCAGGAGATGGTTATCAGACCACGCATAGATGTTCGTGCGGTACTGTTTCACAGTTCATCATCTACATACAACCTAATCCGTCCTGACATATGCAATATTACCAACCGTAGTCATGATCCCACATCCCAGCAGATATTGTCTGTTGTGCTGCGTTCCTTTGCAAATGGAAGTTTTTTGTACAATGTCGGAGATGCAGAGCACCTGAGTAACGCAACTGTATCAGTCAGAGAAGTGTGGCTCGCCCTGAAACAGCCTTTACCCATCTTTGTCGTTTTCCCTGTACATAAACCTGTCAGAACCATCAAGGAGGGGTTCCACAGGATTGCAGGTGAATGATGTAGAGATCTGTTAAATTAATTTTAAATTATATTCTGTTAATGACATTATACTGCAAAGTCAGACTTGAACAATGTTTTTATATTTCATCTTAAGCTGCTGCCAAGTACGCTTCTCCATTGCGAGACTACAACTAAATGAAATAATAGGCTACCATTCAAGCAGTTTTCCCCTGTAATATTATTGTGATTGCAAAGGACGGCAATTAAACTTATGCACTGAGCTGAGCAGCAATGTTCTCCCATGCTGTCTCCCTCTGTGTTGCAGCTGCAGTGGTGTTGCACTTCTTTTTAAGAACGTGTTTCCAATTCTAGTGGGGAGAAAAACGCAGCCCTCTGCTTCCCCGTTGCCATGGCAACGCTGAATCAGGGCTCCATTGATACCGGCTTTTTATAGTTATGGTGCACATGCTTAACTCCAGGTGAAACTACTCCAAGTTGATTAAATTAACTCATATCCGCTGTTCTGGAACCAGAAATTCTGAGTTTCCTATCTCAGAGTAGATCAACTCAGAGTTCAGGATTAGACTCAGAGTTTGCTGAACCTGCTTTGTGAAACGGACCCCTGATCTAAATCCAGTTGAAAACCTGTGAAAAATCATCACACCCAAAATGGAGAACCACAAGCCCAAAACCAAAACAAATTTGTTTGAATTTGTGCAGCAGGAATGGGCTGCTGTGGCAGCAGAACAATGTCAGAAGCTGGTGGAGAGCATGCTAAAACACATGGCTGCAGATATCAAAAACAATGGTTATGCAATCAAGTTTTTGGCAGTACAATGCCATAGCTATTGATGAAAGAACCTAAATGATTTTGGTTGTAACCAAGAAAACCATGGAAAATGTCTAGATATCAGCTCTTAAATTAAACTCTTATGAGCTATTTTTGTTGTTATCATTATTAGAGATGCGCCGATCCGATGCTGGGTATCGGTATCAGGCCGATACTGGACGAAATTATGGCATCGGATGATTTACTTCACAGTGGTAAATGGCCAATCCGATGCCGCCACACACACACAATCCTGCCTTCCAACACATCCACGTGTTTGTCTGCTCATTGGCTACAAGTTTACAGCGTCAGAGAGTGTCTGCAACCCGACTGTTCGAATCTACAAGGATGGAACTTGTGCGTACCGGGTTGACTGTCTGAGACACTCCATTGGCCCTTCAGGCTGTCACTCACCCCCAAAGCCCTCATATTGGCCAAACTAGGTGTCAATCAAAAGCTGAGACGTCCGTCTAGCTGACTGTAACGCTTTCAGCGCGATCTAAAATAGATTCGGCCTGATTTTGCCAGAAGAAATGAATAATGAATAATGAATCCTGTACGTGCCGTCTCCGGCTCTGCAGACATACCCTTCCTATTGGATCCGATCCCGCAGCAGTTCACAACGTTTCCGGCCTCATTTACTACTGCTCATGCGCAGAGCCGAGAGCAGCTATTAGTGGTACTATTATTTAATACCAAGTTTTGGTAATTTAACCTTTAAATTGCAGCTTAATGTTGCTGTGTCATTTAGATCTGTTCTAAATATCTGAATGGCACTGAGTGCACACTGTAGTCTAATTGCAGCTCAAATAAAGCAGCTACAGTTTCACTTTGAGATATGCGTTTGGCTATTTTTTCCTTTTTTAGAAAAGCAAAGTCTATGCTTTAATAGTATGAGGCTTTTGATAAAGTCACCTTAAACAAATGTATCCATGCAAATAAGGTATTTCCAAAAAAGTTTAGGAGGAAAGATGGTATCGGTATTGGTGTTGGTATTGGTATCGGCAGATACTCAAAGTTGAAGTATTGGTATTGGTATCGGAAATCAAAAAGAGGTATCACTCCATCCCTAATCATTATATTTATCCAAACAAATGTACCTTTAGTTGTACCAGGCATTAAAATGAACAAGAAATTGAAGAAAACAAGGGTGGTCCAATAATTTTTTCCATGACTGTAGTAACTTTTTTCTGTAAGGCGACAGTGCAAGCCACCGCACCAGTGCTATGATGTAGCAAACATTTACCTCGATGGATCAGCTGCTTCTGCTTCTGTCTTTACACTTCTTGACAGCATGAAACATGTTCACTATCAGCTCACATGAAGAAAAATGACACCTTCTCTGCAGTTTTCCCTGGTTTGGTTTATCTCCTCCATAGTTGTTCCAGCTTTTTCTACTTATGCATAATGAAGCCTTCACCTCCATCTTCTGATGACACTACACCGCCCAGTTTTTTCACTTCACAACAGTTAATGGAAACAAGCCTAATACGCATTTCTGTTTTCTTGCCACATTTTGAATATTCTATTTAAATTTGTGTGACAGTTACCTGGAAACCTAGCTATAGCTCAATCACCCACTTGTCTGTCAGTATTTAGAACTTGATTTTAAATGCTCAACACCACTTATTTCTTGGTGAACTCATTTTGCCCCAGACGTAATCATTAAACACACCAGTTCAGTAAAATGCAGCATGACCTGCTGTCAGCCACCAGAACTAAATTTTCCTTCAGGGTCTGTATAGTGTTGATGATGCAGCACGGTCCAATGAATGAGTTGCCTGCCAGGCCATGTGAATTATCCTGCCTCTGTTTTTCAGCTGCAGTTTGCCAGTATCTACAGGGATCATCATTTACAACCTTTAAACAGAGGCCAAAAACGTGTCCGTATTTCAGAAGTCAGTATGACTTCAACTTATAGAAAGAAATCCCAGCTGGTTTGTTGTTACACAATGGTGTGAATGACTTCTTGTGTACAGAAATTGGAACAAAAATGAAAAGAAAAAAAAAAACTTGGGATAACTAATTCACCATTACAACCTAACTTGTTTATGGAGGACTAACTTCAGCTGATAATAATAAGAAACGTATTTCTTGGGTGAAAACTGTGTTCTGCTGAAAAATAAAGGACAAATTGTGTTCTGGTTACTTACAGTCACTAAAGTTGGAGCTGGAATCAATTTTCCAAACTATCTGTCCCTTGTGAGATCCGTTGATTCCTCGGTTCTTATAGTCCAGAAAGTTCTCAGACAGAGCCTCATCTGGAAGGAGATAAAACTGATGAAAACATCCCTTCGCCTTCTACCCTCTACAATTTGTTCATTACTTTTAATTTCCAATTACAATGCATTTCATTTTTCATGGATGATAGTTGATGAAGTCTGCATTGCTTCTAGTGCCTTCAGATACCTACATTTCAAATGCATTATCATTACATTAAATGATCTTTAATGATCCAGTATCAACAAATATCATCGAACACAGAACACAGAAACTTCAGTTGTCAATGTGGCTCAGGTAACAATTAAAGACAATAGAAAGAAAATAAGAGTAAAAGTCTACAGCCATATGAGCTGTTCTATGAGACTATGGTTGTGTGTGGTTTGAGCTTAATTCTTGGTACAATCTATGTAATGTCAGCATTAAAATTATAAAGAAAAAAAAACGTTAATCTTAAGGTGATAGGAGGAGTAAAGGAAATGTCACAAGAATATGCAATGTGGAAGTTAAAGCTAAAGCTAGTTTGCTAACATGCTAACCCTGACTTAAGACAGCTAATGTAGCTGATGTAGTGACATTTACATTACATTTTTAAGAAAACTAACCATTCTGTACATGTTGTAATAACCTGGTTTTGATGATGTCGACATTTTATACATCATACAAAACCAAAAAATTAAACACATAAATAATTGAATTACTCTGATTAACCTATCCGTAACTGGTATCTAATGACATCTAATGGCATAGCAATGCGGATAGTTCTGGTTGTATTTGCTCATATTTGAGGTCACCACCCTAGATATTTTTGCTGCCACTTCAATATGATAATAACTGTCAGCAAAACCATGATGTGATAACCATTACCGCACTCTGTCCTGACAGTATCAGTTCTCATAAAATATTTTCACATTACATACAGCTGTTACATTATTAGTTATTAAAGTCTGATTGCAACTGTCTGATACTATTTAAAGAAACAATTAATATTTGTTTTAATGTAGCTTGTATGGGGTAACTTTTGGAGCTCTTGTCACTAAATATGCTTCCATCAAACTCTATAGTTTAGTGTCATCATGTAATATCTCACATACCAACAAGATACATTCCAATCCAGTCTCCAGCATCCACTTCCTCCTTGATGTCCCATGTGATCACTAGGTCTTCAGACTGTCCTATTGTGTAGTGAGAGGAGCTGATGGTGAGGGTGGAGCGAGCATCTGGAGAGACAAGGTCAGTGTCGCTTGTGGAGCGTGGCAGCCCCAACATGAAGGCCTCCTGGTTCAGACCATTGACAACGTAGGTCTCGGGGCCGTAGCTGTGACGAACCGCATCCTTGCAGCGCTGGCGGGTCTGGCTATTGCGGGTTGGGGAGGCCATGGCCGCCAGGCCCAGGATACGATTCTGGTACAAATTCTGCAATAAATATCACACAAAACGTGCTTTTAGCAGAATAGAAAGATAAAAAGTAAGACTAAATGAGACAGTCCATACAGTATTAGTGTTTCTTTTCTGTAATTAACCAGCTTCCTCTCTAGGTAAACTGTGACAGGCCCACACTGGAGGTGAGAGAAGCACTATATGGTCTGTATCAGAGGTTTGTCGACCTGAAATTGTGCATAGGTATTGCATTATTCATAGGGATGGTTGAGGAAGGAGTGTTGTTTTGTTGTAGTTATAATTGAAGTTATTTCTGCCAGACTTTCAAAGACCTTTGACTTGCACATGCTTTCCATCAATGGTGCCTAAACACAGAGGGAAGGTCTAAATTCTCTAGAAATCCTGTGCTATATCTGACCGCTGTGTGTAGCATACCTAAGGAATAATCACTCAAACATGGTGCTACAGGTCACTCATAACTAGCGTCTGTATTCGGTAGAAAATGCAAAGTCACAGCCTTTCAAAAACATCCACAGGAGGTACATCTGTTTTTCTGTCTTCAAATTAATATGGAAAAAGCCACACGTGCATCCACTGCTTGCTTTCAGAGTCCATATTGGTCATGCTGAAACCATAAATTGGTGTCACGTTTCCAGCTAAAAGCCCAGAAGCTTGTGTTGGCCAATGCAACACCAGTGTGTGAATATAAATGATTTAGCAGCTTGCTTTTTAACTGCAACCAGCAGCTGGAAAGGAAGCTGCTAAATTGGTGTTAAGTTCATCTGTCAGTCATCCCGTGCCAGTGTAATTCCTCTATACTCCCAATACTGGTTTAATATCTATACTCCATTTACCATCTATGGAGTAGCTTTACAAATACAAAAGTGGAGAAGGGCATTCACAACATTCTAGACTTTCTAGAAATCCTATCAGACATGCTCTCAGTCACGACAGGATATGTTAGCAATGTTGCACAGAGCCTGAAATGATAAAGAAATAAATGTAAGCAGTTCTGTTGTAGAATCAACACATCTATTGCTGACATGCATTTTGCAGAACCAAAATAAAATGTTATCTTACAGTCATTCATTTATCAATAGAGGCTTAGTTTATTAAAACCACTTAATAAAATGAGATATCTACGTTGTGCAGTGGAAACAGTTTTCTAAACACAGAAATTCTCCTGTGTTTGTCCCATAGACTGTATAAAAGATGGACGTAGCTACCGTGACGTCACCCGTTGGTTTCTGCACTGACAAAATGAAGCCAGGGTTTTGCTACTTCTGGGTTGACATCTTGGATTTTTGGAGGCAGTGACGCAAAAATCGTTGGAGGGGGGCGGAGCCATAGGAGCAGCGATTGGTCAGACGGATTGAGAGGCAGGCCCTCTCTGCCTGCCCACATTTACCGCCTTCTGCGCAAAATTTGACGATTTTTAAAAAATTCAGTATTGATTTATTTTCAGATTGGCCACCTGATCTCTGAATTTGGCTATGAGAACTAATAAGAAAAAAATCCTGAGCTGTAGGAATGCAGTATTTCGTGATCTGTGATCACTTCTTTTCCAATTCAGGTCTATGGGAGCCAGGGCTGTTTGGAGCCAGCAGCAAGCTGACGTAGGTTTGTTCGTCTGGGTTGGCTTCATTTTTAAGGGCCGGTTGCTACGTCCATCTTTTATACAGTCTATAGTTTGTCCCCAACTTTGCGACACCTGCAGTAATTCGTGGCAATTCAGTTCTCCTGACCCAGCTCATTGTCTCCTACATTCACACTTAATTGTCATTGAGTACTTTGGTTTTTGATGGAAACATCTAATATAAGAACGCAATATTATTTCCAGTCATTGTCAATGACACTGGCTACAGACATTTGACGCTCTAAGCCGTAAAAGGTATGAAAAAGACAATAACAGCGAAAGATGTTAGGACAAAATCAGATTTTTATGCTCTCACAGTCAGTCATTTGATCCAGCACAAAAAGTATTTCTGAATCTGGTCTCATAGGTCACATCATGTTAACACAATAACAACTGTTAACACAACTAATATAATTTGATTAACACAACAGTCTAGTCAAGTCACTGTATGTATATTTATGACCCAGCAGATTTTTGTCATTTTTTTAAAAGACCTATAATAAATCTGTAAAAGAACCAAAAAGCACAATTCCTTTTTTGTGTGATAAACAGTCAGCTGGAAAGTTTTAGTTAACTCATTGCGTTACGATAGCAACTCGTAAAATCTACAAGCCAGTAAAAAAAAAGCCTTCTTTTATTTCTGTAAAATAAAGTTTTGAGTAGCATCTCTGCTTCACTATTATTGTAGACAGGTGCATTAGAGTGAAAAGCTTGACAAGCATTGCACACTTAAGTAAGGGGGACGGCTCAATTAAGGATCCACAGGGTTTACAGGAAACACTGCAGGCCTGTAATGGACAGGATTTGGAAGACGAAACACAGTGTGCGGTCCTATTTGGCATAATTCAGACAGAAGTCAGTATTAGATGGCATTGTTGGGCGTTTTCCTTAGTTTGGTTACACTGTCAACAGTGGTTGATACAATCGAACACACCTTGTTAAATCAAGTAGAACTGAAATCTTAAGGATTGGATGACACTGAGAATATTTGTGGGATTGAATTATCACACAATCCCATGTACACTCACTGGCCACCCGGTTGGACCCACAAATTCAAATGCCAGAAACATTGCTCTGAAATTTTGGCACACATTGACATGAATGTGTCATGCAGTTGCTTCAGATTTGTTGGCAGCACCTTCAGGATGCCACTCTACAATTCAACAATTCTACAGTTTGATTTGGCAGACACTTCTATCCAAAGCGACCTACATCTGAGTAGATACAACACAAGCAAAGATCTAGTCAGTAGAAAACAACCTGGATAAGTGTCATAAAACAACTTTAAGTGTTTAGTCTTTAGTCTTTTCTTAAAGACTGAGAGGGACTCTGCAGGTCAGAGTTTGGTAACTCCTTTCACCACTGGGGAACCACAGAAGAGAAGAGTCTAGCTATCGACCTTGGGCCTTAATGTGGTGGGTGTATCAGACGCCTTTTGTTGGCCTAGTGTAGTGAGCGGGAGGGAGTGTAGACCCAAAAGAGTTCAGGTAGGATCAAGCTGTTGTCATTGTAGTTTTGTAGGCAAGTGTTAGAGTTTTGAATTTGATGAGTTTTAAACTCTCCCATTCCAACACATCCCAAAGACGCTCCATTGAATTTAGATCTGGCAACTGTGGAGGTAATTTGAGTATAGTATACTGTCAGGGTCAAGAAATATGTCTGAGATGACATGACGTATGATGCATTACATGATCCTGATGAAAGTAGCCATAAGAAGATGGGCACACTGTGGTCATAAAGGGCTGGAAATGTCAGCAACAATTCTCAGTTAGACTGTGGCATTACTTCATTGGTAATAAGAAGCCGATAATGTCCAACCACCCATTTTCTACCCCTTATCCAGATCCAGGTTGTAGGGGCCTAATCTCTTTGGTCTGTACCAGGGGCTTCTGCTGTGGGAGATGCCCAAAACACCTCATGTAGGAGGTGTCCAGGAGGCGTCTTAGACAGATGCCCGAACCACTTTAACTTACTCCTGTTGATGCGAAGAAGCAGTTGTTCTAGTCAAAGAACCTCCTGAATGACCATTGTGGTTCCTCACCCTATCATAGGGGTAAGCCTAGACACCAAGCAATGGAAAATTATTTTCGCCACCTGTATCTGTGATCGTGTCCTTTCAGTTCCCACTCACAGGTTGTGGTCACAGGCCAGGGGCGACAAACTGACTTAGGGTGAGACCAGGGACAGGTCACCAGTGTATCACAGGGCCACATATAGAGTCAGACAACCAAGCACACTCACATTCACACCTACGGACAATTTACAATCACCAATTATTCAATTCAAAAATATCTATCTATCTATCTATCTATCTATCTATCTATCTATCTATCTATCTATCTATCTATCTATCTATCTATCTATCTATCTATCTATCTATC